GCGCCTGCAGAAAATTCTGTGTTGCTGCCCGCTGGCAGAACATTATACAGTAAAGGAAGTATCGCTTGCTGAAGGTTTGGCCACGCCTCAAAATTCTGCTGACCGCTTGCAGAAAAGCGCGAGTTTGCGGACCGCCTGCCCCCGGCGATTATTTGAATGGGCGGCGTTCCATCGTTATCATACTCTTTATCTCACATCATTTGATTTCCTCTCATTGTTGTGTTAATCAGTTTGCTAATGCTGTTTCCATAATTTGGTTGCTGAAGTAATTATAAATTAGCCCTTGCCATCACGATGGAATGGATGTAGCTCCCCATTCATTACCTCTAGAAATGGGAAACGAAGGTAGTTGCGGAGTTTTGGCTAGTGAGTTGCAGAGTAAAACCAAAAAGTGAGTTCTAACTATGACAGCGCAAATTCCTGGCACCAGCTTCAGTAAGCCTGTCTTATGGAAATGTTCACAAGAGGCGTGGCGTTTCAAGTTACAGAAGCGACAAGCGAAGATGAAGGACGAAGTCTGAAATAGGTTTATTTTTAATCTTAATAAACAGCGAGCGCATAAGAATGCTTTGGGATACAAATGTCAATTATTCAACTACCAATTGCCCAAGTTGAATACGCATAGGCCACATCTTCACAGCTCGCTTTCATGAAAATTTTGGAATCTCTCTCTCTCTCTATATATATATATATATATATATATAATATAACTCAACATTGTCCGTTTGGAGGGTATGTGAGTTATAGAAACGCGCGCCGCTCAACTGATTGGGCTGAAAGTTTGCACACAGATGTTTTTAACCCCGGAGACGGTTCTAGGCTACTTTTGCGGCGATTCACTGGGTCTTTCCTATCGATTTATTGATTTGTTTACGTTTTTCTAGGCACTTGAAGGGTTATCATGTTCAATCAAGCATTTTGCCATAGTCATGTAAAGGAAGGCGGTGAAGCTCATTTTTACCTCAGGATCTCACGAGGATGCGGTTCCGAAGTGGATATTTCAGGGTAAGTTATCCGCAACACATAAAAGGGGGGATGGGCTCGCAGTGCAGGAGAACAATGGCCCGGTCTGGATCGGGAAAGCCAACTAATATAATATATTTCGGTCTTCACCTAGAAGATTTTCGTTACATTGTGTGATACTTCACCAAAGCTAAAAGCGGATTCACATCAATTATTATTGTCTTGTTTCATATGGTGACGTGGTGTCACCGTGGCATTCTGCGTTGCATTTATCGTTCACCTCAAAAGTTTTCGCTAACATTCTTTTCTAATAAATTGAGCATCAGAATGTGTGTTTGTAGCAAAAGCCAGTGCGGATTATTAGCGCAGTGGCAGCACGCTGTTAAATCCGTACAGTGCTGTAGATAGTGGCTGCTGGCTCAGTTCTCCCGGGCAAGCGGCGGATGCATGTTAGTCTCCCGCTTTATTCTCTGAAGGGCGGGCGGCGTACTTTTAAAGGATGGACTGCGAGGGGCATGATCGCTCGTCCGATAGAGGTATTGCGCTAGTTCGAATTATTGTCTGAGATGCTATGCGAGCATATAAGCTACCACTCAAAATAAGATACGCGGCAGCAACAAGTTACACGATTGACATGCTCTACCGTGCTCTTTCCTAAAGCGCGCACAAGGCTACAAAGGCACTCACAAGGGAAGTCACTTAACTTAGGTCGGCCTTTTGAAATGAGACACATATGTATAGAATCAGTTCGGAACGCTGATTCCAAATATGCTGTTCTTAGCTGCGAAGCGTTTCTCTGAAGCGAGTTATGAGCTTTTTAGCATGTGTTATTGACATACAACTAAATATGGAAAAAAGGCTTGTAGACGGAATCTGCTCTAAAAAAATGGTGGAAAATCGAAATAACATCAAAATGTTTCATTTACCCCTGATAGAGTGTATTAGGCATTTGAGCCACTACCTAGATGATAATATCGTGGCATCTATAAGGCGGTCAACACGCAAGGTTTGCTCAGGAAAAAGCTCATAACTCGCTTCAGAGAAACGCTTCGCAGTATGGATAGCATATTTGGATTCAGCGTTCCGAGCTGATTCTACACATATGTGTCTCATTTCAAAAGGCCGACCTAAGTTAAGCGACTTCCCTTGTCAGAGCAGTCGTGCGGGCGGCTCGCGAGATAGCCTTTCCGTGCGTGGGGGCATTCTAATCATGGGGGTCACTCAAGTCCCCGTGCGAGTAAATGGCTTGTTCACAGCCCAGGAGCATGCATATGACGTCAAATTAGGACCGTACTTATAAGATATGCTTTCTCTCAAATTAGACCTCCTCGAGGACTTCACCGTGACGACTAAGGGCCGCATGCACTAACCTCCCCGCGGGGGATGTTAATGCATGCGGCCCTAAGGCGTCCTTACAATTCTGTGCATTCACGTAAGTTTCGGATTTTTCTTTATAGGGTACTCCCCCGGTTAAAAGTCTATCTCCAAACACAAAGTCAAATCCATATCGTTTGCCTCCCCTGTTTTTCGCTTTGTCCATAAAACGGCTTTTTAGACTTCTCGCCTTAACGCCAGCCTTTTCTGTTTGGCACTTACGCAACCAGTTTTCAATATACAAAATAATTACATGCATAGATGGTCATAATCAAGAGATCTGGATCGCCAAAGGCTGATCCCTCCGTGCGATTGGCTATAAAATCATAGGCCGGTATGCACGTACATCCCCGCTGGGGAGGGGAGGGATTTGAGAGGGGATGCGTCATTTCTCGCTACTCTAGGTATCTTTCTTCTTCCTTCTCTATTTTGGTTATGAAGGATCTCATACCTTAATACCTGCGCATAATTGATGCCAGGTTACTGGCATAATTGGTTAGATTTTCACTATTTTGTGTGATCCCCTGGGCCTCAGGGGATCCTCTCTCAATTTCAATGCCATTTATCTTTCTGCAAGCTCAATGAAAACGCTGTAAAATTGTACTGTGGATATCTTACGGCACTGCTAAAGATTCTTATGGTAAAAATAAGTAAGATCTCATATCGAAATCTTCGGTAATACCTAGCTCGCGAGCTAGGGATCATCGAAAAATTCACAATTTCCAGATTCCATTTTTCCTGTCGAAAACATGCCTAGCAGTGCCGTAGAATATCTTCAGTACAAATTTACAGTGTTTTCATTGACTTCTCAGGAAGATAAATCACTATGGAAATGAGAGGTGATGGCAAAAAACCAACTGTTTGGAAGTAACATGGCATCCATTATGCGCAGATATAAGTGTATGAATAAGCAAGATAAGATAAGCAAGATAGAGAAAGAAGAAGAAAGATACGTAGAGAAGCGAGAAATGAAGCATCCCTTCTCAGATTCCCTCCCCTTCCCAGCGAAGATGTAAGCATACGGGCTAAACAGCGTCACGATCTCCACTGTGGTTCGCCATCTAGCCACAGGTTGTATATATCCAACCACCATTTTGCTCACTGCACTCTCTACACGCTAAAAACGAGACTTAGAAATTCAGAAAAGTAGTTTTCAGAAGGCTTGCCATATAAGGGCATAATTGCCTTTACTGATAACGAATTTTTTATTTGTCTTTATTTTGAATATCTGATATGTAAGAGTAAAGGTCTGAGAATACCTCCATACAAAGAATCTTATTGTGAGCTGAATGACTGCTACATCGAATTGTTATAGAGCTTCAAATTTGCATAACAAAACGAACTTATTTATCAGCCAACCTTCTATTATGAAGCGCGACCGTGTTTCTATCTAAATAGCGCATGAAAATGGGCTTCTTTGAGATTTGCAGTTTAGTCTCTTACGCTGCATGTGAAAACGGCGAAAAATATAGGTTTCCAAGAATTATTAGGAACAGGGTTGAAAGTTGCCAAAAATTTGGAGCATTTTTGGCTAGTAAGTATATACACCATGTCTCGATCGCTGCTCACTTCTTCATTAGCGCTGTCGCGGTGCCAACGCTTCGCGCCACGTTCGCACGCGTATGGATTGTCCATCAAAGTGGTCTCACTGATCGCAGTTTCGCTTAATCCACCCTAAGGCCCGGCGCAGATCGTCTGGAAGCAGCTGGACTTTGTTTTTGGGATACATAGAAAAGGATATATCGTTTTTACAGGGTCCGGGCAAAACCCGAAAAGAAATTGTGTACATCCATTGAGAGCGAAGTTTTTGTAGGAACTTGCATATACAGTGTGCAAGACAATTCAACACGCTTCCTGTAATGCCAAAAGCGACCACTGAATCGAGCACAAGCTTTAAAGACAGGATATTATTACATGATGGGCGTGCTCCATCGTGTCTTACGAAAAACGAGCGCGATTTGAGAGCAAAGCCAAAATTGACAATTGCTTGTTTGCAGCGAGGAGATCGGCATATGACACCAAATTTAAACTATAGGCATAGATTGATATTTACAGGAGATTTATGTAAAGAGCTTTGGAAACTCATGTGAAGTAATACTTTTTCCAAAATTAGGTCTGTTTCCAGACTGCCACCAGACGATCTGAGTGTTTCGAGCATATATTTTTGTAGGTTCACATAAGTTTTGGATTTTTCTATCATGGACGGATTCCCCGTATAAAAATCTATTCTCGATCATGAAGGCAATTCAATATCATTGCCTGTCCTTTGTTTTTGCCTTAATTTCTCCATAAATAACTTTTTCAGATATTGCGCTCTAATGCCAAACTCTTGTGCATGCGTAGTATTCAACTCCACTTTGGATTTTCGCTCTCATCTCACGTTTTTTCCATCGGACTAGTATTTTTCTTGTTTTCATCTTCTCCTAAATCGTTAGGTTAAAGGGAACTTCGTAAAATTTCCGAAAGTCAGGTGAGACTTTGTTCTCAAAAACTCTAAAAACCTACTCATGCCGGGCCCTGATCCACCCTCAGCGCGAGGTCGATCAATGCCATAGCGTAGTGGACAAGTGATTCGAACGCAATACGGAGTGCCAATTATTTCAATTACAGCAAAACTGTCTTCTCCTAGGTTCATGAAGTTTGAATCCTTAAGCTTCACTTACCATGTCTGGATCATTCCAACCACCAGGCTTTTGTGCAGAAGCGAGAACATCCTGATTTTCATCAACAAAGCGAATTATATTAGCAATCGATTCCCATGATCCAAGTACATCGTGATAGATACGCCAAGAGTTACAAGCCGCTCGTACCTTGTCGTAATTCACCTGTTCTATTGTTTGGGATTATGAGTAATCACCATAATGTACATCGTGTTACCTGAGCTTCTTTTCCCTCTTTGTAGAAGTAGTATGGCCAACCACAAGCGTAAACAATAGGACGCCCGGTACGGTTCAATGCGCGTTCCATTTTTCGGTAACCTCAACAAGAGTTAATCTCATGCAGGGTGCCCCAAAAGAATGTATTGAGCGTTCCACCATCAATGACTTTTTTGTATAAATCTTGCAGATTGAACATTGAGAGCTGGCTTCACCATGAATTCACAGTATGCAGCATTAACCTATCCTTCTTTAATGTAAAATCGGGAATGCGACAACCCTGAGATTTAGCATACATGTGAATAAGCCCTGTTACGAAAAATGCGCAAATACTTAAAAGTTGTGTACCAAGGATTCATTGCCTGACTTTTCATACGTTCTTGAAGACAGTGTCACGGCGTCACGCCCTCGAGGATATTGCTATACTATACTGCCAGGGCCTCCCAACTTTCCATTGGAATTCCATAATCGGTTTCGGTCATCCCATTGACCTCCAGGCGCATTCCGGCTGGTTGATGTTTCCCCTGGGCCGAGGCCTTTAAACCAGCGCGCGCAACCCCAGTCGGCGCGGGACCCAATGACCGCTCTCCCGCATTCTGCATGCTATCCAAAGCAAAAATTACAGGCACCACGGGCTTCTTGCCAGGGCCTCCCAACTTTCCATTGGAATTCTCGTCCGAGCTGCTTTTGAAAATTAGGTAAACGCCCCAAAAAAGTTTTTTTCACTCGTTTTAAATCTCAAATTTGGGGACTACGGATTGAAAATGCCCAAAACATTTAGAAAGATAGAAAGGCAAAACTTGCGGGACATTGCCTTTTAAAGCTTTTTGAATGGCGTAATCTCATTTTTGAGCAACAAAGACAGTATTTGAAATAACTTATTGAAGAAGCAACAATGTAGTTGCAAACTCTGTACTTAACAGAGAAGGTATTTGACTCGAGCGGCCTACCCCAGTACAGTGTATACCATAATGACCGCTCTGGAATGCCCATTACGAATATGCTTTCTTTTCCTGCTCATCGACTTATTGAACAAAGTTATAAGCATTTCCTTGGCCTCAGATGACACTGCATTTGGTTACTTACTGCAGGACTAAAAGTAGATAGCAGGGTAGCTTCAAAACTATTCCCATCAATTTTTCATGTACAATAACTATATCTCAGACATAGGCATGTAACTTTGAAACAAAAAAAGCATTTACAACGAATTTAGTCATTTAGACTACCTGACAAATTGGAAGCGCCTCTAGCTTTGTTCAGTAAACTGATAAGCAGATATGGAAGGTTGTTTCAGAATTAGTGCTCAAAGGCCTTTCGACTGGTATGTATTATATTGGGAGAGTCCACTTCCTGCCCTTGTTAGACGGCGTTCTGATTTGCCTGGTGTAAGAGTTTTCAGATGTTTGGAAAGCTTTCAGAGGCAACATAAAGCCCTCTATAGCTCAAAGCCTTTTTCGAAATTCCCACCATAAACCTAAGGGAATAAAGAGCGAACGCTGGCTCCTCGTACTATGACTCTAACAAGGGAGGGTCGCGAAGTCGAAGTGGCCGATCACTACAGTTGCATATCATCACGAAAAACTTGAAGCGCTGATTCCGAATCTGTCTTTTCTTTTTGCAAAACGCTTTTGAGAAGAAAGTTATGGACTTTTATTTGTGGAAAAATTTCAAGGCTGAGAGTAGCTAGGATCATTAACACCTGAGCATTTTGAATTCAAAGCTACTTGGAACATGCTTAATGTGTTCTGACCCTTTCTGAACGTTATCCTATAGCGCACAAAGCAATCTGATCGATCCATAATTTAGTCACTCAAAATTACGCAATTTTTGAGCTGGTTTTGCAATGTGGTGTTTGAAAGCTTTTTTAGCTCTTTACAAGGCTCTTTTTGCAGTAAGAATCATTAGAGATCAAATTTTCAAACGTTTTTTTTATATTGGCTTATATTCACAAATCGTAGGCTGCTCGAAAGGGTAGGGCAAGGAGGCAAAAGAATTTTTTTTTGAATGAAGACTGCCAAAGATATTGGGCATTCTGAATTTCTCGTAGGCTTGAACCTTGAAATTCACAACCTTACAAAAATTTTCTTTCACCTGCACCTTTAATTAAGCTAGATTTTGAAGATTTTCATTTTCGACCTTTTACTAGTAGAAAAGTCACTTGCACGATTTCGCAATTTATTTGGGTTGTTTCCACAAATATCGCAAGCTACTCTCCCCGTTTCCTCCCCTTTTGCCACTGTTACAAGTTGATAGACAATAGCTACCAGAGGGCAAGAGAGCTGTGTCTACGTAGCATCCATCTAGTTTCAAGTAATCCACATCCCAGGAAGCAAAGGTTTTGGCGTCGGTCTGAAAAAAAAAATTATTATGATGAAGTTTAAAATTAGTAGAAAAAATCACAACATTGATATGGTTCAGGCTTCCTGGGTATCCTTCACAAGTTGTCGTCCCCAAATTCTCGTAAATGCCAAGTTCAAGGTTCCTATCATGCATCTAAAAATAGCCATATCCATATTGAGAGGAAGATTTCTTCTACTAGGGATTTACATATTTGGCAAGCTTTTTCATTCCACCAGGAAATCGTTTACGGTCAGCAACCAATCGTCCATGCTTGTCTCTAGATCTTTCCATCCAACAGTCATCAATATGAACACGATTGTAACCAGCATCTAGGAATCCGTCCTCAGCTGAAATATTTTTTTAAGAGGTGACTGTCTTCTAAATTTTTTAGAGTTAATGAAAAATTTCTGTAACCAGATCAAACTGTTTTAATTTTCCTAGCGGACTCAAGACACTGCACGATAAGGCAAAGCAAGCTCTTGGGTTGCACAGAATTTACGTACATGGTAGGCTTCATGAATGCATTTGCTGATTTTTTCTGTAGAAATCTAGAAAAATAGTCCAAAAACGACAAGCTCCGCCCTGAGCTCCTCCCACGAATGTGACTGTACACGGCAAGCCTTAACACATTGACGACAAGGCCGGTTTTTCGATCACTGTTATTTCGGACGGGAGCCTTTTTCGCTTTGTCAAAATTACGACCCACCCGTGGGTAGTATTGTCCGAGATGGTAGTCTTTTTGGGAAAAGTCCAAAACATTCCCCGAAAATTCTTCCAGGGGGTAATCGAAGGTGCTGATTATTGAAAAATAATTTATTTCAATTTTTGGCCTCATACGGTAAGGTTACGGTAGTTGTCCTGTACGAAACCAACACCATAGATTTCCATGAAAAATTGTGTTTTGGAGTTGTTTCACGTGCTGATTACGTTTGTAGTGTCCACTTTGTTCACTGCTGTCCCACAGTAGTGAATAAAGCGGGGCTACGGTAGCAGTACGGTAGAATTTTCGCAGAAATCAAGAAACTGATGTAAGAAGGTGGTATCAAAATATGAGACTATCATTTTCGTAATCAGCATGCTACAAAACCTATATATGCAAAGTTCGAGCTTCCTAGGATGAAAATGCAAAGAATCAATAAAATCAATAAAATCGATAATTTTTTGATGGGCTAACGTCAGCCTCTTGCCCGCCTCGTATTACCTTACATGTAAACTTGATTCTCCAGAAACAGCATCATTTTGCGAAGAATTTTAGCTAAAAGTCTGTGCCTTATATCTATCTACCGTATACCTACCGTAACATTGCATTACAGTATCCGCCGAGCCCGGACCACTATGGCTGGAGCTTCACCTAGGTGCCCCCAATCATGTGCCAAAATCCCGTAGATTTCCACTGTAAACTAGCGAAGATAGCGCTTTATGAATTGTCCGAAATGGCAGGACACGTACGAACCACCGGTGGGTCGTATAGTCGTCAATGTGTTAATAAGTATATTCCTAAATTAACACCCCTATATTTGCTCTGATAGTAGAGAAATACCATTCGCGTAAAACGCAGAAAGTGGCATTCTTAGAATTTCGTGCTGTTTTTGTTTCTTGGAATTAATTTGACGACGATGTGTACCACCGATGGCCCACGCACTTTCTGCCGCCAGGGACGACGTGGACCACCGGTGGCCCACACCCCTTACAAAATTATGTCCTTTCCAGATCTACATAGTATCTTCTCCACAATTCAGTATTTTTTCCAGTTTTTTTGTACTCTTGAAACCCGTGGACTCCGTCGTCCAAGAAGATGATTGTAGTTGATTCAAAATAACCTTAAATTTCGTAAAAAATCACAAATTCTTCCCACGCCGAAAGTGGTGCAAAATCGCGTCGTCCCACAGCGCCGCCACGCAAAATTAGGCGTCGTCGTCAATGGGTTGAAGGCAGCGTATCGGCAGAATGACTACCTCAGATTTTGACACAGATTGATAGGAGGCCCTTTAAGTGAACCAAAACAGCAACTCCGCGCTGAAAATGTGAACTCTGCAAGCCAGGGGGCGGCCCAACCGCCGCTCCCCTTCCTCCTTTCGCTCCCCTAACACCTTGTTCGGACGAGTATGTTCTCCGCTAAAAAGCGCGCCGTCACTCGTAGCTTCGTAGGGCAGAATTGTTCTAGCGCTTTCTACCTCCTTACTCTGCGTCTCTGATGGAGAAAAACGGCTCTCTCGTCCGCTCCCGTCTCAAGGGAGCTTTCAAAAGACGGGGTTTTTCCCCATTTTCGCGCTAAGGGGAGTTCATGTCGTGATTCAGGGGGCCGGAATAGCCCCAAATCTGCCAAAACCCGAAGTTGAAAATCTGCCGAGCCGCTGCCTTTGAGCTGTGGAAAAAAAAGCAAATGTATTACATTTATGAATACTTATGTCTACTTTATGGAGACCGAGTTGAGGTCCTAGGGATTTCTTGAAAGGTGATCCGATTTTAGTTCAATCAAAAAATAGTTTTCGGCACTGTGGTTTACTGGTCCAGCTTAAATGGATTTATGGTGGTCATTTTGCAGAGCTTGCTTTGGCCTCTCCAATAGTGTCCCGAATTTGCTTAGAAAACAAAAACGGATTAATTTATTAAGGAAAGAGTTTATATTTGGAACAACCTGATGTACCATGAAAGGGAGAAAGTAATTCTCTAACCTAATCTATCGGCCATGTCTTGGTAGAGTTTCTCATTAATGCAATCATCAGGGTATTTCTCACAGTCAGTTTGGCAGAGGAATGTCGCCCATGACATCCATCCCATTGGTGGCGTCCCAAATATCAAAGCGAAAATTTAGAAAAACAAAGTTTGTAAACATATTATTGAAAAAAGTTTGTTTGAAATTACCTAGCCAGTCCATTTTCTAGAGCCGTCACTACTCCAATGGAACAAATGAACAGTATTAGCGTGGCGAAACTCATATTACCTCAAGTAACTTCTGGAAAGACTAAAAGTGACGTAAAAATGCACAAATCTATGAAACGAACGAAGGAGAAAGAAGCGGCGATCTCCTTCTCGTGACTTCACTTCCCTAACGCACTTACAAATACCCAGAGTGAGGGTGCGATTATGAGGTTATGTAATAGCGGCGCACCTGACTATGTAATCGCTCAAGGAGGCAAGAAAAACGTTCCAGAATATAGAATCGGCCCATCTACCCACCGACACGAGTGGTCCAAAGAAAATCCAGATCGAGCTCTAATGTTCTTACAGTTGTAATCTGTCCTTCATCATTATAATTATTAGATTCTCGACATTTCCACCTACTCTGGAGCCGCTTTCGAGCTCATTCTTTCCAGACCGCCTAAGATGATGAGCGGAGCCACCTAAGTTGCCTCTAAGTTCTGAAGCAATTTACCTTTTTCGGAATTTGTCATTTGCATTGGGACTTGAGCGATTAGTTGCTTGGATGCTCCGCTATAGCATCAAAATCTCATCCCTTAATCAGGTGTTGGGGATGCCTTAAATTGGTTCCCTTATACATGTAACCTCAACTTCACGCGTACAAGGCGCGGGGGATTTTTTTCTAAAATCTGTCGCGGATTCGCGACTTCCTTTAAAGAGGCCGCCGTCGCGTTGCGAAGGGTCCCAAAACGCCGTCCTCGCGCTGTCCCGCCTCTCACCTCTCTCACCTGCGCAGCGTTCAAATAAGTCACGTAGTCAGCCTTCACTGCTGTCGCCATCGTCAGCGGTCGGGTTCCAACTTCGTCTCAAGCCATCGATCGATACAGCGCCTTCCCCAACTCACGCGTCATCTACATCCACGCCATGGAGGACAGGCAACCCCGCAGCACGGAAACCCCGCGCGCCGGCGACACCGCCACGCGGGGTTTCCGTGCTGGCCCCTAGGTTTCTAACAGCTGGCTGGTTGTTTTCATTCCCTTGTGCTTGAGTGTAGGGTCTGTGTTAAGGATAAAAGGTGGGTAGTTGATAGCTTGTGGTTATTGATCGATGCGGTGGACTGCAGCTCGGCTGCAGCCCCGAGTAATATCGTGTTGTATGTTATTACGTCATCATCTACAGTCCAGATGGTTAGATCCGTGAGAAGACTGGCACGATGCCGGCTAGTGCCAAGTGGTGATGGCATGCCCCAAGTGTCAGTAGTGGGAATGGAGTTAACGCCCCAGGCTGCATTTAGTACTAGGTGAGCTGGTAGCTCAGGGCCCCTAAGAGTCAGGCGTTATGCCGTGTGGCAGGCACAATAGCATTTGGTGCAGTACCGCCCCAAGTGACGTGAACCCTTTTACGGAGAGGGTCCCCGGCTCCCATACGCCGATGCAGGTGAGCCGTATCCACTGACGTGGGGAGCTGGGGGCCCAATCCGCGACATGGTGCATCGTGACGGAGTTGGGCATAGGGATAGCAAACCTATGTCTGGCTTTTGCGATCGAGCCTTGCCTGCACAGCCACGCATACATACCTTACACATTAGTGTCCCCCAGCTAACAGTCTAAATCTTTAAATTCTCATCCGGGATGCTTGCACAGTGTACGCATACTTTGCTGCTCCTCGTGCTCCATGAGAGGATTCATCCTTCGTTTCATCAGTAAGCTCCGTAGCGACTAGGCTGACGCAAACACGCGACTACCCACAGTTCCACTTAGATTGGGAGTAGCTCAGATAATCGCCGGGGGCAGGCGGCCATGCGAATTTTGAGCAAGCGCGCACCGGAAAAATAGTTCGTTGATTTTTTGCCGCCCGCTTGCAGAAATCTGGAAGAAAATTGGTGAAATTAAAGACGAATGCTTGAAGAACAGTCGCGGTTTCTTTATGGATTAGCTGCGGCGCAGTGGCCGCATTCTCGCGGACTTTCCGCGAGAATATGCAGAAATTTCGGGGGCCGCACGGTCCTTTGTGGAGGACCGCGCAACCCCCAGGTACTTTCCGCTGGGAGAAAGTACCTCAAACTTGAGTAATTAAACCAACGGTGACACTTCTTCCACACAGAGTCTTACCTGCGCTCGACGTACGCCCGAAAATGCCTAAAAAGAGTTCGAGCGCTTGCTGAAAGTTTGGCTAACGCTCGCTGAAAGAAATTATTTGCCGAGCGCTTGCAAAAAATGCTGTATTGCTGCCCGCTGGTAGAATATGCGACCGTAAAGGAAGTGCCGCCCGCTGAAGGTTTGGCCACGCCCCAAAATTCTGCTGACCGCTTGCAGAAAAGCGCGAGTTTGCGGACCGCCTGCCCCCGGCGATTATCTGAGAGGGTGATCCCGTAGACCTGACGTGGCAGCAGTAATCTATGCCCTGCCTACTGCCCGGGAGTGTCTGGTGCCTTCTGATGGCCAGGTTTTTTCGCATACATGGAGGACAGCGGATAGCTCTGTCTGCCTTGAAACACGCCATCAGGCCGACGAAAGAGCCCCGTTTGTTGGGTTTGATGAGAGCCTCGCCCCAAATTACCTTCTACTTTCGCGCATTTATGCCCGCATTGTGCATTCATTCCCCCTTTTATGCGTATCTTGTGGTCACACCTAGCTATTACTTTGTTTCTTGCGGTTTCGTTGCCCATTCTCTGCTATTGCCACTTTCGCCCCATACTCACATTCGGGGTTTGCGTTCGTGTTGTTGTTTACTGCTCTTTCAATTTCACTCGTGTTCTCGTACTTACCATTTGTGTTTCTACTCCGTCGAGTGGTCACTGTTCCTTTGCACATTCCCTACAAATACAATCTTCCAGACTTTGGGTTAGCAGCTACTACCTCCTGCACGCTTTCGACGTTTCATTATCGATCGGCATGGCTACTGTGACAACTGTGGAGTCCTACCTTCCGAAGGTCGTCAAGGCTATTGAGGACCTGCAGGCTGCGAGGAAACAGGTAAGTCCAGACTTACTTACTCCTTTAGGTCTGACGCCCCAGCTGTTGAGCAACTCCATCAGCTTCAGCAACGTCAGACAGCCGCACATTACCACATAGTGGGCCTCAAAGCTGCACTTTCGCTCCTAAGGGAACGTCGTGCCTTGTTGCTGTATCATCACTACATCCAACTCGCCGACGGACCAGGAAGCGTATAGCAAGTTCGAGGAGAAGTACGGTGTAGATCAACATCAGGCCGACACTGAAGCGCTCCTTCGTACTTTGCAAGACACCCAGGAAGCGGACAGCGAACAGTTTCAGATCCTCCGTGTCCGTCGACTCGCCAATTCCATCAGCGAGGATAAATGTATGGAGACGACAGGGATTGTGACGACGCCCCAGCGAGAAGATTGCACTCACATAGATAACGCCGCACGTCTACAGAGTGTAACACACAGTTGGACGTTGTACATCAGTCGGAACATCTACAGCTCACGCCAGCAAAGACTGCCCCATCGTCGCAGCACTTACCGATCCAGTTGGAGAAGTTGACGTTGCCGCACTTCGATGGAGATGTCACCAAGTTCCAGCATTTGGTGTGCGTTCGAGTTGGCTGTACACAACGACCCCAACATCGACCTCAATATGAAGTACTCTATCTGATGAATCTAATTAAGGGAGAAGCTCTAGTGGTTTTGCAGGATCTTGAACCAGGTCGGAACAACTACCATCAGTTGGTGCAAGCATTGAAGTAGCGATACGATTGCCCGAGGAGGACCAGAGCGCTACTCCATCAGCAGCTCAGGGATCTTCAGCCCGCAACCGAATCAGCTTCAGACATGCGTAACACTTGGTTCCGGATTCAAGGTATCCTACATGCCCTTAAGCGTTTTGAAGATTTGAATCGTGTTCTTTGCATTATCGATCTCGTACGGACTAAGTTTCCCTTGGCTATCCAGGAGAGACTTAACAATGTCGAGTTCGAGAAACAAGCCGATTTCGATCTTCAACAAGTCATGTCACACCTTATTTCGTCTAAGTGTACCTACGTTATCAGAAGAGTTACTCCCCAAGGACGCTCATCAAAGTCCACATCCCCCAGATCACTGTATAATCCAGTCGCATGTTGTTTCTGTGATTCCTGTTCGCACTCCTCTCGTAGATGTAACGAACAGTTTATGCCAGTTTATGCTCGTCGTAAGATGGTGCAGTTACTGGAATTATGCTGGAAGTGTCTTCGAGAAGGACATCATCAAAATCAGTGTGATTATCCTGTGTGTAGGAACTGCGGAAACCACCACAATCGACTATTCTGTAGGTATACGCCAAAGAGAAGTCGATCCCCAACGTCTAGATCGCCCAGCCGTGGATCACGACCAGCTTCGAGAAGACATCGCTCCTCTAGAGACTCCTCCGCATCGAGAAGCCCAGTATGGGATAGCAAAGAATCCCGAGATTATTCTCGTGATCATCGCTATCAATCGCGCGAACAGAGAGGATATCGTAGCAGATCGAGTTCCAAGTCCCATTCTCGGGAACGGGAGTCATCGCGATCCTCATCTCCAGTGTAGGTTTTGACGTGCCCGTTAAAGACTCATCCCCCACTAGTCGACGATCACACTATTCCCCATCACCGGAACGACGCAGAAGACGAAGATCAGAATCGCCATACCCTGAAGAAGCAAGGACGAATGATCAGCTGCTAGTACAACCCGATACGGAACATGAGGATTATCACCAGTGTTTCCTACGTTTACAGCTTCATTCGAACACTCCCCAGCTTCACCCAGCTTTGATGTTGGTGAAAGCTAAAGCTCGCACAGCCTCACGAGACCTTCAGGATGTGACCCTTCTACTCGATTCCGGCGCACAGACCAGCTTTATCACCACATCTGCGGTGAAACGACTAGGTCTTCATGTCTACGACCATCAGCCGATGACGTTAACGACTTTTGGAGAACATGA